CAGCATGCATCTCCCATCCTGGGAGGATCCTCCAAACACCCTTTATTTGGTGCTCCTTTCTCTATCTGAGCTCCCTTTTCCCCTAGCATGTGTGGCTGGCCTCCAAGCCATGGAGCAAAACTCCTGGTACTAATCTCGGCCACTCGGGTGTTAGTCTCCTATTTTGTTACTTTATGTTCCCCAGATGAATGCAATCTTTCTATGTCTATGCCTCTCTTTCTGACTCATTTTGCTTAACATGATACTTTCCATGTAGTATCACTTGTATGTAAATTTCATGACTTCATCTTTTCTAACAGCTACATAGTACTCCATTGTGTAGATGTACCAAAGCTTCTTTAACCAGCCCTCTGTTCTTGGGCACTCAGGTTTTTTCCAGATTCTAGCTATTGTAAAGAGTGCTGCAATGAACAAACAAGTGCAGATGTCACTTCGACTATACTTTTTTGCCTCTCTCAGATATATTCTCAGGAGTGGTATTGCTGGGTCAAATGGGAGCTCATGGAAATGCTTAATTATTGAGATATTACTGACTTATTACATAAGTTTTTATGTTATTATATACAATGTACCACAATATCAATCTATATGAAAAGTGTTTATCATAAAAAGTTTAGTTAACAGCCATCAACACATTTTTCCTGTAAGGAAACATTTTAAGATTTACTGTCTTAATGATTTTCATGCATATATTACAGTATTATTAACTATAGTCACAAATCTTATATGCAATATCTTCATAACTTTTAAGTTATGTAATTTGAAGTTGGAAACTTTCAATTTCCCTTCACCTATATCACTCTTGGCCTTCCACTAGAAGTCACCAAGGAAAATTTCTGCTGAGAAATCCGTTAGGAGGTTCCCTTGTCAGTAATATATTTTTTATTATTGCCTAAAAAATGATCTCATTGCCTTCTCGTAATTGGGATAATGTGTCTTGTGTTATAAACTTTTGGTTGGGAAGGTGACCTTTTAGGTTGCTGGTTCAGTTTCATGAATATATATGTTAATATTCTTTTCTAAATTTGGGATTTTGTGTCATCCATGTTTTTTTTAAATAAATTCTTCATCCCTTTCCATTTATATTCTCCATTTGGGACTTTCATAATGCATATATTGTTTTTTTTATGGTAACCTCTAAGTGATTTACAAAGTTGTTCATAATAGAGTTGTTTCAGGATTCCAATGTTCCAAAACAACCCCACCAGGTATTTATTATACCTGATCATTGATAGTTAAAGCAAGTCCAAAATCAATGGGTTTGAGACCTGCCCTTGGTGAAGATAGGATAATGATGGTAATGAAAGAAAGAACTGTAAATAAATATGACAAACATAATTAACTTAATCAACTAAAAGTCTATGGGTTTTCCTGTAAATATCTCTAAATTTTTATCATCATAAATAGTAGCATATTAAACATAAAATATATAATTATCTGTATACACATATTCATTAATTTTATATACTTTATATGTTAAAATATATATTTTATATGTATCCTGCAGATAAATATGTATCCTGCAGAGAACAAAGGCATCATCTAAAATCAAAATAGTTGGATGAAATAGTCCAATTACTCTTCAAACATGTCAAATTCATTGGTGGAACTGGGGAGTCCAATGTTAAGTGAAAGACAAATACTCAATACTGTTCTATGGTTCTATGGTCTGAAGACTAGCAAGACTAGGGGATGGAAGGTATCACTCTGACCAAATAATTGACTCTTGATTCCAGAAATGAGAGTTCCAAGAAAATTTAGGAATGGGTGGTGGGATGTGGGGAGAGGAGGAGGCAAAGTGTTGGTAACTAGGGGCATTGATCAGGACACTTTGGTGGGATAGAGGTGAGATAACTGTATACATTAGAACCTTAAAATCCAACACGACTTCATCTTTTCTAACAGCTGCATAGTATTCCATTATGTAGATGTACCAAAGTTTCTTTAACCAGTCATCTGTTCTTGGGCACTCTACACAATGGAATACTGTGCAGCTGTTAGAAAAGATGAAGTCATGAAATTTGCATATACATGGATCAACATGAAAAGTATCATGTTAAGTAAAATGAGTCAGAAAGAGACGGACAGGCATAGAAAGATTGTACTCATCTGTGGAAAATAAAATAACAGAATGGGAGAATAACTCCCAGGAGTAGTAGAGATAAGGACCAGGAGGTCTACTTCACGGCTTGGAAACTGGCCTCACATGCTGGGGAAAAGGCAACTCAGATAGAGAAGGGAACACTAAATAAAGGATGTTGGGAGGATTCATTCTGGTTGAAAGATGCATGCCGAAAGTAGACTATAGACCAAATACGATGGCCACTCAATACCTCTATTGCAAACTACAACACCCAAAAGGAGAGAGGAAAAAAAGGGAATGCCCTGCCACAGAGGCAGGGTGAGGTGGGGGGATGAAGTGGGGGTGGTGGGGAGGATATTGGGAACATAAGTGGAGGAGAATGGGCACTGGTGGAGGGATGGGTAAACGATTATTGCTTGACAGAAATATGAAAGTTTATAAGTTTGTAACTGTACCTAGTGGTGATTTACTAATAAAAAATTTTAAAAAATGTAAAAAAGGAAAGAAACAATTCAACCTATTTTAAAACAATCCAACACAATAGTAAACACTGTAGTTCCAAACTAAAAGAACTAAATTTTAAAGATGAGTTTGCTAGAGGAGGTGGGGTGGAGGTTAAAAGAAACCTTGGGAAATTGGTGGAGTGGTGATGAAATAGTGTGGGTTTGGAATAGAAATTTTGTATGCTTGATACTCCACTATTTTGCTTTTGGGCCACACATGACAGTGGTCAAGGCTTATTACTGACTCTGAATTCAGGGATCACTCCTAGCATGGCTTGAGAACCATATGAGATGCTAGGGATCAAACCCAGGTTGGGCATGTGCAAGGCAAACTCCCTGACCACTATAATATTACTCCAGCCCTCAAATTCCACTATTAAGAACATTGTAAACCATAGTGCCTAAATTAAAATAATTTAATGTTAAATTAATTTACTTTTGTATTTTTTATCCTAAGAATATTCTTTCAATGGGACAGAGGGATTCTTAGAAGAATTGAATTAATACTTAATATGTTCATATCATTAAGTGGTAAAGCTAATAAGATGCTGAATAATAAAGAGGATCAGTACTGGAACTGCCACGTAAAGATGAAGAAAAAAGAAAGTTGGGTCAATGAGGCAAGAAAGATAAAGCAGAAACAGAAAGAAAATATTGTATATGTAATATACTTTCTAGAAAATATAAAGAACTATAGTTAAGTAATAAAAATTGGTTTTATTGTCTTTTATATAAGTGCCAGGGACATGTTTCCCTTGGAAGAATTTATTATTTGGGTGCAGCCAAAAGGGGTGTAGTTTTTCAAACTGATGTCAATGGTGTAAAATTTGAGCAATATTTATATAAAGGTTATCAGAATATCTTCTTCCGTCACATTGTAGAAAATTATCACAACTTTGTCCTTCTGAGCCCAGTACCATAATATCTCAGTATATAGAAAAAATTTTCCAGAGATTTGGATTAAATCAGGCTGGACTAGCAATAGCTTTCCTGACATTTTCCTTTTAGTGTCAGAAATGTCCCTCTATAATGATGACATGGGCGATTTAAGGTTTTATTAGGCTCTTAGAAGTACTCTCCATGTTCAGCATAGATTGTTAATCTGAATAGATTAACCCCACATATCAACTATATCAATACAGCAGCATGCTGAGAAGGGGTTATCCCTGAACACCGTAGCTTTAAAAAATGGTTAAGAAAATGACAGTTGGAAAACTGACTGTGCTTAATTATGAAACATCTCTTAACTACTGACTATATAATAGATATTTGTCATTATGTCCCATTTCTCCAATTGGAATAGTTCCATTTTATATTTTATTTTGGTTAAATAAATAAATCAACTTACAGAAAACTGCCTTCCTAGTTGAAAACTAGAGCCTGGAGTTTTGGCTAGTCACAGTTACATATTATTTTGAATTAAACACTATTGATGCAACGACTAAGAATTGGGCAGTTCTTTCTGAAAGTGTTCTGGTGTTTTAAATTTTAATTAACTTTCCTTTCCCTTTGTTGTTTTTTGATAATGGGCCAGGGATGTCCATACTCATTTCAATGCTTTCCAAGAGTCAAGTACTTGGTTAAGATATTCACAAACTTGGTTATGGTACTTTAAGGGATCACAAACTTAGTTGCGGTGCTTGTTGGGTGGGGAAGGGGTTGGATGATTTTACTTGTGGGACTTGCAAACAATTGATTTTCATGGGTCAGAGATTGCACAGTCACAGAGTTAGGGATCCCAATAGTCCTGCTCCTGAGATCACACTCAGCATTGTGGTGTGTTATTTCAGGGGAATATATACTTTTGAACTTAAAACTGCAAAGCCAATTCTTGGCCATCTGAGCTGTTCCTAGTCCCCTGCTCACTTCTGGTTTTGAGTGTGCCCGAGGACTATGCCCAGTTTCTGTTGCTGGTAGTGTTGGTGAGGGTTCAAGCAACAGCAGCGAGCAGAGTTTGATGACCTTATTAGACCAGCTAAGGGATATAATTTTCACTTTTATTCTGATTATGACATTTATTATTTTTGTCTATTTTTACTGAGCCTGGTTGATTAGCTTTCATGAAAATTCATGATTTCCATATATACTTTCAATAACCTTATTTCCTCCACAAATCAAGCAGAATTTGTGTCTGTAATTGTGCATCTCAGAACTCTTAAGGTTACAGCCTTGGTGTTTAATGGCATGCTCAGATAATACCCTTAGTTATAATTAAAGTCATTCTATTTTTCATATTAAGTTCACAGTACCTATCTCTTGTTTTATTAAAGGGATAATTCAGGACACCAATGAAAAAACTCCATGGAATGTACCTAATTTAGACATTTCTCGAAAGTTGTAAAAGAAGTCTGTCAGATGTTCAACTCATCAAGCCCCCAAATCACAGGTAAATTCTGAAACTGCACTTTGGGGTTTCAAGAAGTCCATATTCGGTTCACCCATTTTTTAAAGGCTCCCTTGATATCCCCGTTCCTCAGGCTGTAAATGAAGGGGTTCATCATGGGGGTCACTACAGTGTACATAACTGTGAGTATGCGACCGGTGGTCACTGAATAGCTGGAAAGGGGCCGGAAGTAGACCCATGTGAGGGTGCCATAGAATATGGCTACCACAGTGAGGTGGGAGCCACAAGTAGAAAAGGCCCGCCACTTCCCTTTGGCTGAGGGGCTCCGGAGGACCACTGAGATGATGCAAGCATAGGAAACAATGATGAAGGCCAGAGCACCATTGATGACAATAACACCTTCTGTGTGAATCATTAGGGTGTTGAGGTGCGTACTGGAGCAGGAGATCTTCATCAGAGGGTAGAGGTCACAGAAGAAGTGGGGGATCCTATTCTCTGCACAGAAGATCAACCGACCCATGAGAAGAATGTGAAGCAAGGCATGAAGATGGGAGAGAACATGGCACACAGCCACCAGCTGTGAACACAGCATTCTGGTTAGGATCATTGGATAGTGGAAAGGGTGACAGATGGCTATGTATCGGTCATAGGCCATCACAGCCAGAAGGAAGTTTTCCATGGCTGCAAAACAAATGAAGAAATAAGTCTGGGCCAGACAGCCCAGGTAGGAAATGGTCTTAGTAGGGGAGAAAATGTTCTGCAGCATCTTGGGGACTGTGGTGGAGGTGAAGCAGATGTCCACAAAGGCCAGGTTGCTGAGAAAGATGTACATTGGAGTGTGGAGGCGTGGAGTGGAGATAATCAGAGTGATGATGGCAAAGTTGCCAGAAACATTGATTGCATACATGAAGAGAAAAAGAATAAAGAGTGGGATCTGGTCTTCTGGGTGGGTGGACATGCCCATGAGCACAAAATGGGACACACTGGTCCAGTTAGTATTATCCATCTGTTGCTGAAAGAACAAAAAGCATTAATTTTATGAATATGGACCAGTCATGTTACTTGGATTTCTGTGCTCCAATGTAAACTCTATGTGGTGTTGATAACAGAATAAATACGTATAAAATAATAAGGTTTAGCTTTTTATTATCATAATAGAATCACTATCACCTTACTAATATTTATTGAGCCTTGAACTTGGGACCTTGATGCATTATCTCATTTAATTATTACAATAGCCCCATGAGACGATTGATATTATTTAAATTGTTATAATTATTCCAGTTTTACAAATTAGAAAATGAAGGTGTATAAAATTCTAGTTTATAAAGGACAAAACCTGAAATTAAGATCAGTTGATCTAGCTCTAAAGGCTATGCTAAGTGATATAACATGATTCCGAAAACTAAAACCAAGACATTTTATTCATGGTAATAAGGCCTGCTGATGTGCCAAGAGATATGCCTGATATGAGCAGTTTTGGACCTCATTTAGCTCAACAATTTCTGCTTTGGTGAATGCCTAGTACTGGCAGATCTCCACACAAATACACTGGCCTAGGAAATCAGTTTCTGGAACTTCACCTAGCATGTTATCTTCTCAAAATTCATTTATCTTCAGTACATCATTTTATGCATAAATCCTATATAGCGTGTTTAAAGAGGAATATTTTTTTATCTATCCAAAATCTTTCTACTAGACATAAAACATGGAGTAAAATGAAGGAAGAATTATAAATATTAGAAAAAATAGTTTAACGACCATATAAATTTAATTTGCAGCAGTTAAGTTTTCTGTTTCCTTGTTCTCATGCATAATCAAAGGAGACATAATTTAGTTGTATGCACTTCATTGAAACAAAAATTCTAAAAAACAAAATTCTAAAAATTAATATATAATAATTATTTCTTCATATGGTTCTGAAAATTTCTAAGATACATATTACACTATTATATGAACATTTACTTATTTATTTTAGTTACTATTTTGGGTTGGGGAATAGACCTGGTGGTGCCAAGGGCTTCCTCATGGCTCTGTACTCAGGGACCACTTCTGGCAGGCTCAGGGGACCATAATTGGTACTAGGGATCAACTCCCAGGTCAGCCATGTGAAGTGTCCAACACACTGTATGATGTCTGTGGGCCCATGGACATTAATTTAATTCTCATTTGTTCATCTAAGAGAACAGGTATATATCTATAATAATAAATAATAAAGCTGTAGAATAGATACTGAGTCTGACTCATTTGAGCCATAAACAATTCTTATGGATGCATAGCCATTTAATTTAAAAATTGAATAAAAATTGAGAAATAAATTGCAATTGAAAAGATTTATCTATCAGATGCCTTTAAATAAGACATTATTATATAGTTATTTTCAATTTTTGATTTTGGGGGGCCACATTTGACCTAAATCAGCCTTAAGTCAGGGTTTATTCCTGACTCTGTGCTCTGGTATCACTTCTGGTGGTAGTTGGGGCACATACAAGCTGCAGGGGATGAAGGGATTGACCATATGCAAGGCAAGTGCCTTACCCCCTGTACTATTTCTCAAGACCTATTATTTAGGTTCAATAATCATTTTCAAAATTTGTGATACATTGGATTGAGCCACATGAAATTATTTTATCTGTAGCTTAAAACAGGTGAACAGTTGGTTAATTCAGATGATGTAAACTAGCAATTATCTGACTTCAATCAGTCGTTTAATAATTATAATTATAATAAGAGTTTTTCATACTTAAAACTTTGTTTTTACAAGAAACTAGACATGTACTCAATTTTTGTATTCTTTGTTTCTGAGAAGCATTATAGGTGATTGTGAAAGACTTTGTAGCATAACTTCTAATATATTTGGTGGTGGGTATAGTGGGATAACTATACATATTTTGACTATTTGAAATTATACTCTATAGACATATGTACTCTTGTAAAATGTTAACTCAATGACATAATTAAAAAGAAAAATAAAATTATGTTGATGAACTATATAATAAGATGATATTTAAATAGGAAGAAAAGAAAGGATGTATGTATTCAGGGAGAAAAAAGGTTGATGTCAAGCTTAAAAGAAAATTTGCAGGGAGGTCATACCTGGTAATACTCGGGGGTTACTCCTGGATTTTGTGCTCATAAATTATTCCCAGAAGTGTTCATGGGACCGTATAGGATGCTAAAGATAAAATCCCAGTCCACTAAACTATTGTTGCAGCCCCAAGTTGATGCAAAAACAAAGTATTAAGAATCACCTTGTTCTTGTATTTTTTAAAATAGATATGTGACATTAGAAATGAAGGGAATGATGGTAATGCTGGTGTCACTGGTGTGCACTTGTCTCCAAATTTATTAAATTATATGTTTTAAATATGAACAATTGTTCTTCAGTAAAATGGGTTTAAAATAAAATGCTTGAATGGAACAAGTATCAAATTATTTTACTGTTTAGATTCCACTGAATGCATTTTAATAAATAATATAGCTTCCTTTTAGATCTCAGTATTTACAAAGATACTATATATCCCTACAAATCTTGAAAACTCTGATAAACAATTTTGTATGCCAGTTTTTTTAAAATATAAATAGGTTTTAACTAAAGGGTATGAGAGCAAAATAACGACTACAGATTTGACTTAATGTTTTTATTAGTGCTCAATCCCCTTTAATAAAGAAAATAAACTTTCTTACTCTTTTTGAAGTGTTTAGTGATAGAAATCTTTAGTTGCTAGATTTTTCTTTTCTATGGAAGTTAAAGTGTGATCTTCTCTCCTCTCTGGCCACTGGAAATAGTTTGGTCCTCTGGAATCTTACAGAACAAGTCTATTACTTTTCAACATGAAGCTTTTAAGAAATCTATGCACGACATAAGAGAGGAAATACTGTGCAGTGATTACAAGTCAGACACTAGAGAGGAAACCTAGGTCTTTCATTCTTTTCAGTTGCATTTAACAGTCAAAGGATTAGAGAATCATTTCCAACCACCATTGTCATAGTGGTCCTTTTCTATTCCAATTGCCTTCTCCCTGCCCCCCCCCCCGCGCTCCCCCCCCCCCCACACACACCAGTGACAAGCTTCCAACCATGGACTAGTCCTCCTGGCCCTTGTTTCTACTGTCTTTGAGTTTTAGTCTCATACTATGTTTTTTTTATATCACATAAATGAGTGTGATCTTTTATGTTTATCCCTCTCTTTCTGACTCATTTCACCCAGCACAGTATTCTCCATATCCATCACTTATAAGCAAATTTCTTGACTTCATTTTTCATAAGAGTTGGCAGTATCCTGTTCTGTAGATCCAATTTTTAAAAAAAATTGAAAAAAGAAAGTGAAAAACAAAACAAACAAAATAAATGAATAGAGAAAGTCCCTTGATCTCTAGAAGCCTAGATTTTCTGCAAAATATTTTAGGGCTGGAGTGATAGCACAGTGGGTAGGGCGTTCGCCTTACAAGCGGCCAACATGGCCGACCCGAGTTCGATTCCTCCCCCCTCTCGGAGAGCCCGGCAAGCTACCGAGAGTATTCGATATGCCAGACACAGTAACAACAAAGTCTCCAATGGAGACGTTACTGGGCCCGCTCGAGCAAATCGACGATCAACGGGAGGGCCTTTACCTTTACCTTATAGGTAATAGTACTACATTGCTTATTATAAGAAGATTTGGTGAGAGTGCCTAATCCTAGCCAAGTGTTTGGTAACGTAATTTACTATTAATGTTTTTGGTTTTGTTCTGTAGAATATACAGGGAGAGAATACTTTTTCTGTCATTTGAGTTTCTTTGCTGTGACTTTCCCCGCCCCCCACCCCCATGTCACTGTTCTTAAATGTTGTTCCCAGAACTACACAAACAAGCAAATGAAAAAAAATCTATACATCTGGCTTCCAATATAGGGTTATAAGAGTGATTTGATCCATCATAAATCATTATCTTTGAATGATGCTCAGAGTTGGTGACCTACAATTGTGTTTTTAACTTGTTTATTCCAATAATTATTGTCTGTTTGTTTGATTGTTTGGGCCACATCCAGCAGTGCTCAGGGTTTACTACTGGCTCTATGCTCAAGGATCACTGTTGACAGTGTTTAGGGGATCATATGTGGGGCTGGGGAGTGAATCCGCATTAGAGTATGCGAGGCAAGCATCTTACCTCCCATACTATCTCTGTAGAGAAATGTTCCAAGAATAGTTTAAGAATTCTTAAGCTTCACAATTAGGTTGTTGGGAGAAAACATGCAGAAATGAAAGAAAATCCATGTTGGGGGTGGGGCAAATTTGATTCCTAGCAACACATGCACCCCCAGCAATGGTGGGTGTGGTCCTAGAGGCCCCCAGCATCACAGCATAGTACCACATCATCAAGCCCTAGCATTAAACAAACAGGCAGAGACATGTCAAGTATTGTGGGAAGTGATAGGCAAGCTTTCAGCACTGCTGGACAATAAAGAGGGCCCAGGTGTGAGACATTTTCACATTATTTAAGGTAATCCTTGGAGCAATCTTTGGACACTTTAAACTTGAAGTAGTGACTTATTATCCTCGTTTCACAAAGGAGTAAAGTAAGGGTTAGCTTAGGAAGGTAGAGTAATTTCCTAAGCATAATTCTGTTTAATCATTGTCTGCCTGGATACTAAAGTCTGGAGTACACAAGTCTGTATACTAATCTGGCTACATCATATTTGTCATTCACTGACTAACTTCCTTTCCCACAGTTTCTGTATGATTTTAAATCTCAAATTCTGGAGGCTAGCCCTATAGCTCTCAAGTGAGAACATTAGGTTTTCCATTTGAAAAATTGTGGAAATTGATACTACACTGTTCTGAATTGCTATTCTGAATTGATTCCCATATAGTGTGGTAGTGAATGAGAACCAGAAGTTATAATCACATTTTATGAGCACTTATCAAAAGATGTTACAACATCTTTGTATGAATATATATGTATTTTACTTGAACATCATAGCTATCCTGTGTTAGCAGTGTTATTGCCACCATTTGATAAATAAGGAA